GCTAGATCTGTGTCTGTCAAGAAGAGATGCATAAATGAGAACACTAGTGTACTATTTATGAAGGCTATATCTACAACACCAAGCTTATCTGCTGACTCTGTTGATTTTCTCCTTGATTCTTTTAACTCAAAAGTTAAAAGTGTAATTGATGATATTGCTCCTGTGAAAGTCAGGAAGAGTGGTAGACAAAAAGCACCTTGGAGAAACTCAACAGCAGTGCAAAATATGAAAAGACAATGCAGAAAAACAGAGCGCATGTGGCGGAAGACCAAACTTGTAGTCCATTATAACATCTACAAAGACACCATCCATGCTTTCAATATGGAACTAGGCAAAGCTAGACAGACTTTCTTCTCAAATATTATAAACAGCAACTTAAACAACACACGCACTCTTTTTGCTACTGTAGAGAGACTGACAAACCCCCCAAGCCAGATTTCCAATGAATTGCTCTCAGACAGAAAGTGCAGGGAGTTTGCTTCGTTCTTCTCTGAGAAAATCAATAATATCAGAAAGGTGATCAGCACATCATTGAGCCGCACTGGGGTCAGACAGATCAGACCACAACCTGAGAAAGCAGCTACTATGTCTGATTTTGATGAAATTGATGGCAAAATTTTAGAAGAAACCGTACAGCACCTTAAAACATCAACCTGCGCCCTTGACGCACTTCCCACATCTTTCTTCAAAAGTGTGTTAAACTGTTTAGAAGCTGATCTCCTAGAAGTGGTAAATGCCTCACTTATCTCTGGGAATTTTCCAAACTCCCTGAAAACTGCAGTTGTCAAGCCCCTCCTGAAAAAGAGCAATCTGGATAAGACCATATTAAGCAACTATAGACCGATCTCAAATCTTCCTTTCATTGGCAAGATCATTGAAAAAGTTGTCTTCAATCAGCTGAACAAATTCTTAATCTCGAATGGATACTTTGACAATTTTCAATCTGGTTTCAGATCGCATCACAGCACAGAGACAGCGCTCATAAAGATAATAAATGATATTCGCTTAAACACTGATAACGGCAAATTATCAGTGCTGGTACTACTCGACCTCAGTGCTGCATTTGACACTGTCGATCACGACATACTTCTTGACAGGCTGGAAAACTGGGTGGGGCTTTCTGGGATAGTCCTAAAATGGTTCAGGTCATACTTAGAAGGGAGAGGTTATTATGTGAGTATAGGAGACCATAAGTCTGAGTGGACGTCCATGACATGCGGAGTCCCTCAAGGCTCAATTCTTGCACCACTCCTGTTCAACCTGTATATGCTCCCAATGAGCCAAATAATGAGAAAGAACCAAATCTCTTACCACAGCTATGCAGACGACACACAGATCTACTTATCCCTATCGCCTAACGATTACAGCCCCATTGACTCCCTGTGCCAATGCATTGAGGAAGTAAACAATTGGATGTGCCAAAACTTTCTTCAGTTAAACAAAGACAAAACTGAAGTCATTGCGTTTGGCAACAAAGATGAAGTTCTCAAGGTGAATGCATACCTTGACGCTAGGGGTCTAACAACTAAAAATCAAGTGAGGAATCTGGGTGTGTCTCTAGAGTCAGACCTTAGTTTCAGTAGTCATATCAAATCAATAACTAAATCAGCATACTATCATCTGAAAAATATTGCAAGAATTAGATGCTTTGTTTCCAGTCAAGACTTAGAGAAACTTGTGCATGCTTTCATCACCAGCAGGGTGGATTATTGTAATGGACTCCTCACTGGCCTTCCCAAAAAGACCATAAGACAGTTGCAGCTCATACAGAACGCTGCTGCCAGGATCCTGAGCAGAACCAGAAAATATGAACACATCACACCAGTCCTCAGGTCTTTACACTGGCTCCCAGTTACATTTAGGATTGATTTTAAAGTATTATTACTGGTATATAAATCATTTAATGGCCTAGGACCTAAATACATTGCAGATATGCTCACTGAATATAAACCCAACAGATCACTCAGATCATTAGGATCACATCAGCTAGAAATACCAAGGGTTCGCTCTAAGCATGGTGAGTCTGCTTTTAGCTACTATGCGAGCCGCAGCTGGAACCAGCTTCCAGAGGAGATCAGATGTGCTCCTGCAGTAGTCACATTCAAATCCAGACTCAAGACACTTCTGTTTAGCTATGCATTTACTGAATGAGCACTGTGCCACTGTGTCCGACTGTTTGTACTGTATTTTATTTTATTTTTTATTCTAAACTGCTTTAATTATTCTTATTTCTTTTGATTATTTTAATCTCTTTATTCTTAACTGTTTTAATTATTCCTATTTCTTTTGATTTTTTTTATGTAAAGCACTTTGAATTGCCATTGTGTATGAAATGTGCTATATAAATAAACTTGCCTTGCCTTGCCTTGCCTTGATGATACTCAGCTCTATATTTCTTCGCGTCCTGACGAACCGGAACCAGGAACACTTCCTATAACACCCAATGTACTGTAGCGATTATCGTTATTAGAATGGCATCTACGCTAATATTAGCCTGTCTGTCTCATCCTTATCCCGAGGTTACTGTAGTCGGATCCGGCCCATATCTAGATCAAATGGTGGACCTGCACCTAGACATGACCAAAAAACGCAAAAACCTGAACATCAGCAGAGAACGTGTCTCCTAGTCAATCCCCTGTGAAGGCCTCATCGACATGACAGCAACCCTGATCCTAAGCAGAGACCACAAGATCCAGACAGGTCCTCCGCGCAGATCCCGATGGCAGCTTCGGCTCCATACCGGCGTGATTAATCGATCTTCAAACAAAAGGAATTGGATGAATATTTGAATGCTACCGATCCACATCTGAATTCTAACTTGTGATGCAGCCTGGAATCATAATCACACCATGTTTGTTCGTTGGCCAGAGGAGAACTATACCCTGAGCCTGGTTTCTCCCAAGGTTTTTTTCTCCATTCGGTAACCAGATGGAGTTTAGGTTCTTGCTTAGTTGGGGGCACTTAAAGGGGTGGTATAATGCCATTTTCACAAGATGTAAAATAAGTCTTTGATGTCCCTAGTGTGTGTGTGTGTGTGTGTGTGTGTGTGTGTGTGTGTGTGTGTGTGTGTGTGTGTGTGTGTGTGTGTGTGTGTGTGTGTGTGTGTGTGTGTGTGTGTGTGTGTGTGTGTGTGTGTGTGTGTGTGTGTGAAAAATAGCTCAAAATACCCCACAGATATTTTTACATAGCATGTTAAAATTGTCACTTTTTGAGGGTGAGCAAAAATATGTAGAATGCAACAGGACATTTCTGAATGGTTAGTTCACGAATTTAGGTGGCTTATGTGTAGTTATCTTCTAGTCATTGATTAGCATATTCTGTCATGATGATCTATAAATGCTTTCCCGGGGGCGGGGTTTATGTAAATTTTAGGGTTGTGATGTCACTAACCCGGGAGGAATGTCGTGTAGTCCCTACCAGCCGTTTGTTGTAGTCCTTAAAAAGTAATTTCTTTAAAAGAAAATATCTCCCTTTGCTTTGAACTTTGAGCATTGTAACTTTGCAGATGTTGTTTGTGCTCAAACAGCAACAACACTAGTACTAAAGTTAGAAAAGTAAAATCATAATCAACCACCCCTTTAATATTCAACAATATTATTGATCTGACAGTACTGATGCTGGGGTATGAGAACTGAACTGAGCTGGACGATGACATAATTTTTTTTGCAGAACTATTTATAGGTTTTAAGATTTAATAATTGATGCTCTTTATTTACAACGGAACTGAACAAACACTGAACTGACTTCAGCTGAAAAGCAGCCGATATGCATCATTTTCCTGTTATCACTGTAAAGCTAATAAATTAAGGTGACTTGACTTGACTTGAACTGTTGTGCGTCTCCAAGCAACAACGTGTTTCATTATTGAACGAATCTATGGCTTCGAATTAACCAGGAGAGTCAATGATTAAATTATCTATTCATAAATACACTTCACTTGCTTAGTTGCTTTGCTTTTGAATGAATGAATCAATCAATCAATCAATCAATCAATCAATCGATGATTCACTCATTAAGACAGTGACTTGTCGCCACCTACTGACGATTTTAGTTTTATATTTAAAAATATATTTACCATCATTTCATATTTTTTTTCTATGGAACATTTTTTTTATTTAAAACATTATCTCATAACATTGTTTATGCCATTGTAATTGAATTCTTGCCACCTCTGAGCAGCATAAAACAGTGTGTAAATACATCTAGATGCAGCTTGTGCACAGTGCAAAGATTGCTTTTGTTTCATTTGGTTCAAATTGTTGATTTAGTTAAATGTATTGCTTTATTTATAATATTAATCATTTAATGGAATTTTAAGAATTTGACATAAAACATGAAACACGTATTAATGGAAACAGAATGTCAATGGAAAAGGTGTGACTGCAGTCAGTGGAAGAGGGAGGTACGCTGAAGGATGTTTAATACCCCCACTTTAAAAAAGTTTGGGAACCACTCTGGAACAAGATTCCACTTCATGTCAGAGCAGCCTTGTCGCTCAACGTTTTTAAATCTGTTTTAAAAACATTTTTATCCGTTTTAACCGCTTTATCTTTTGACTACATTTTAAATATAAATAGCCTAGGCAGGTTTTGTGGTTAAGTATTGGTAGCTATTATAAAGACTATATTATGTGTATTGTAAAGCACTTTGGTTCAACTCCTGTTGTTTTTAAACGTGCACTATAAATAAAGGTTATAGGTTGAGTAATATTGAGAAAAGTTGAGTAATTTCTGCAAGTGTGCCTCTTTTATGCAAACGTGTTTTTTATTCAGTATAAAACGGCACTACATATGTAAATGTATCAGTAGAAATGTTTTCTTTCATTTGTTAACTAAATTACTCAACAGGTCTTGTATAACTGCTAAAACAAAATAGTTGCACAATCTGGCAAAATCACTGTGCAGAATCATCACCCTGCGATGTGATTGGTCGAAAACTAACATAGTGCTCAGCGATTGGATAGCAGAACTGTCAAACACAAATCTGCTTTCCCATCCGGGTCAGATTGGAAGCAACCCTATCCGGTGCATTGAGCGAGTGTGTGTCACACTTTCAGCTGGTGAGTGCTAGGTTGCTCTCAGCACACCGTTAACCTGCGGATTCACATGAAACACGGATTATCGGGCAGACACACACGCAAAGGCTCGTTTGCTGTCGTTTCAGACGCTGATCTCATCATTTCTGAGCTTTTTTAGTGTCAAGTGAAGGAAATTTGGGGATAAGATGGCGGATGTGGCTCCGGCCGGCGTGGAGAAGAGTCTGGATGACTTCTTCGCAAAGCGCGACAAGAAGAAAAAGAAAGAGAAGGTCAAGGGAAAGGAGCAGGCAACCGGAGGAGCCGTAATGGTGTTGAAAAAGACGAAAAGGGAGAAGGAGAAGTCGACGAAGAGTGAGAATCAGGACGCGCAGATGGAGAAGGTAATGCAGAGTCAAAAAACACACCGGCTGCGTCACAAACCCGTGAGCTGCCTTGCCTAGGCTAGCGAACATTCAAAACGTGCTTGAAACGTTGAGCAATGTGGGCTAAGCGCGCAGTTCACTCGGCTTCGTGACAGCTAAATAGCACTAACAAAAGGTTATATGTTTAATTTGTCTATATGAGAAAGTTAATGTGATGTTGTGTTGTAGACATCATGTGTTTGTGATTCTGAAAGCTATTAGGCTGCTTAAATTTACATTTAACTTTAAAATCAATTTCGGTCGTGATTGACTCACCCTCCACGACTTTTCCTCTTAAAAAGTAAAATGCGAAAATGTCAAAGTTAGGTTTTTAGCAGAACAGTAAAATATTGACAGTATCACTCATTTACTTCAGTTTTAAAAAAGAATTCTTACAATTAAAGTCAATAGACAGAATAACAGTACTAGTCACTAACATTTCAAATGGAAATGGAGCAACAGGAGGGTGTGTAAATGGCGACAGAATTGTCTTTTTTGGGTGAACTATGCCTTTAATTTTGTCCTTAAATAGAAGTCGTGTCTGAAGTGACGTATGTTGGGTGATATGACATCACACTGTTCCATGGGGAATCAATCCTCTGTAAGTCTTGCAGGGGTCTTATATCTGATCCTGTAACCGTCCTTCAACGCCACCATATGCTCGATTCTCATGTCATTACAGAATAGCTAGGCTACGTGTTAATAAGTGATGCTGGTGTATGATTGTACTTTTACAAAGACATCAGATCGCTTTAATTAAATCCTGCACTTTTCATATTGTGATGCACATCGAGAAATATTGTAAGTCAGTTGTGCTGCATCCCAATTTGCCCACTGTGCCCTAAAAGTACGTTCTCTTTTGAGAATAAAACGTATATAGCCTAGTTTTGAATGTGTAACACAAGAGCAGGCAGATTTCGAGACATACTAGTACCACGTCATAATTGTGTCTGAAGTCCTAGTGAAATGGAAATTCACCCTATCTATTTTCTAAATGCATGATATAGATCTTATGTGATGCATGTATGCATGGTTAATTTTTCAGATTTGTTGACCTCTTAGTGTTTAGCCTAATCAAAGCTGGACCTTTCTGTGAAAATGACAGACTGGTGTCATATGCAGGTCTTGTCCAATTGTTTCGTCTGTTTAAAGTCACCTTAAAAATAACAATTGTTTTTTTAAAATGGAAAATTGTGGTATTTATTATTAGTGATTTATCTGTAGGAGATGTGACCGAAATCTTATATCATGATATGAGTAATTTTATTTCACGATAACGATATATATCCCGATATTGTTATTTTTGTTATATTATATCACAATACTTAAAAACGCATGCAAACGATACGCTTTAGTGACAGCGTAGCACAGCAAAGTTACGTGAGCATAACCACGATAGAGATGATAGTCCAAAATCTCTACCGGTTTACACATTTCTACCGGTTAATCGCAGCAATTGCAAATGATCCAACTTTCCAATCAATTCCTGATGGACAAAGCCCCACCCTACTTTTGTTATTGTTTATGCCATTTTATTTAGATATACATCAGAGAAGGAAGCACTATAGCAACTTCCGTCAGCTTTAAACCCACCCCTGCAAGGTTTCCCACTTCTCAAAATTTGACAACAGATAGAGAGAAACCAAGACCACGCCCTTTTTCATTGTGAGTTAGACCATGCTCCCACATAGACACCCAGCATCCTGTCACTGTAAACTGGCTGGTCAATCATCGTGTCACTGATAACGTCTTCATATACACATTTTAGTTTGATTAATTGATGCTATTGATGTTAATCTGCCAGTCGAGTTTTTTTTTTTTTTTTTTTTTTAGTTAATGGCCAAACGTGTCTTTTTAAAAGTTCACAATGTTGTTGCAGATGAAATTGCTTCACACAACTTTTTCCAGCACTTCAAACATGCGCGTAATTTGCACGGGGGTTACGGGGGTCATAACCCCCTCAAAAATCAGATCCAGCTAATATAACCCCCCCAATATCATCACATAATTCAGATTAAAATAAATATGAAATATTCCGAATGAATGCTTTTGTTCGTTTTCTTTATTAAATTCATTTGCCAGCAAGAAAGATAATATCATATTTTAAATAATCTGTAATGTACCCCCTGCCCACCGCACCGACTACTTGGTATTACCCAACCCGCTTTCTCTATCAAGTTTATTCACTATTTTGCACAGTCGCTGGGATGAATGGTCGGAGAAAGCTGACGGTGCATGCTAACGGATGGAAAGATGAAAGGACAGCCAGACAACGATTTTTCATTGTTGGTCGACACCAGCCAAAAAGAGGAAAAATCCTGACCAAACGGAGGTTAGCTGTTAAGTTAGCTCAGCGTTTCTCAGAGTGTGTGGCGCGGGCGCGGCCCAGTGGTGGGGAATAGAGACATGACAAATGGGGCGTGACAAACAGGTTTTGTGCCCATCTTTTTAATTCCTTTATTTATTGACCATACACTCAAAACAAAACAAAAACACATTTAAATGTAAGCCTTACTTAACGTTTTCACACGTAAGTTTAAAAGTTTTTTCAAGGCGATCGTTATTGATCGTAATATCACGGAGTATCCCATGGAGACGCGTCATTCATTGCTTGTCACACCGCAGCCACAATAGCTGAATGACTGATGATCTGCTTTTATTTCCTTTTTTATTCAAAATTTCACAAATTTGTTAGCTATAGCAGGATATATCTGATATTCCGATTGTCAAATATGTTCAAGTGGATGTTTTGTTTTTTCAAACACCTTTATAACGATCGCGTTAGTTGAGCTGTATGCGCAACATAATGCAAGATATCTTATTAAAATACCTAAAACAATACGTACATTATTAGGAATTTACCACCTCCGGCTCAATTTGAGATTATTATTATTATTTTAATTTTTTGTTCTTTTTGCATGGAGTTTGCAAAGTGACAAAATGAATCAAAGCACAACTAACGTTAGTCACTTGTATTATCTCAGTTTCTGAATTTGATGTTATCAGAGGCTAAATGCAAACACCTTTTTTTTAATCTAGCCTACTTTTGAGTCTTATTTCGTGCAAAGTGATAATATAATTGCAGTTTCATTTTCTCTATTTAAAAGTTTTTAATGCTGCTGTTTGATAAGTTTTTAAAATGTGATGTTAATAAAATACATTTTAACAGTTAAACTTAAAGCCTAGTTTATTAACATTTTGTTGGGGTGATTGGGCATGTAGTGTGTTACACAAGAAAATTATTCAATAAATTAATAAATATGCCGCGAGTTTAACCCCCCCAATGGTAGACCCAAAGTTACGCCCTTGACTTCAAAGCTCTATTGTGAATGATTGCGTTGCAACTCGGAGGTCGATTTAAAAGTGTCATGAAACCCCCCTGTTTTAGCCTGGTCAGTTCACCTCCGAGTTGGAAAAAGTCTAAAAAAAAATGGGCGTGTAAAGCTGTGGAAAAGTGGTAGAGGGTGGAAAGAGGGGAGAAAACAACCAATAAAACACAGACCTGCTACACACTCATTATACAGACACATGAATATTAAAATATGACCTCGGAGAGAGAAAAAAAAAGTTAAGGGTTAATCATCTAACCCTATATAACAAACTGCCAAACATCCGGGAGAAACGTGGAAGAGAGCACTAGAGTATATGAACTATGTCTATATAAATATACTAAATATGTCTATAACTTGAAACGCGCTTGCTCCGGTCCGTATATGAATGATATGATCCGCATTGCGAGCGCTCCGCACAGAAACCTCTCTCGCGCGCGCCAATGTTTTTTTGAATTCTCAGCTGAAGTTAGTCTGGAGCCCTGAGTTAATAGGAATTGAGTTTTTTACTCCTGTTATAAGTGTGCCCTTTAATTTTTAGGCAGTTGTTTTTTCTCATTAGGGTTAGGTTTGTTTAAATCTTCCAGTGTGGTTGTTGAGAATATATTTGATTTACATTTACAATTAAGGGTACGTTTACACAACAATGATGTACTTTGCATTTTTTTCACGTACAGACGACAACATTGTCAAAACGATCTCCGTTCACACGGATCCGCAAAAAAACTACTAAAAACTCTGTATTCTGCTGCCAGGCCAGTAGTTGGCGATGTTACTTTGTAAAGAAACACTATGAGCATATAGACTGAACTAGGGCTGTAACGATACGCGATATAAAATCGAAATCGCGATACTCAGGTCCACGATCCTGTATCGCGATGTGGGAAGGCAGAATCGCGATCAAACCCCTTCCAACTCCCAGAGTTATCCTTCCTGTCCTGAACCAGGGCTCGAATTTCGGCGCGGGTATTGCGCATAATTCTAATCATTCCCGCAAATCATTCTTTTAACAACTATCTTCCAGACGCAATTTCACAAACAGCGTGAGTGTTCAGCGGTGCCGCGCGTCTTCTATCTCTTCTCATAATGTGTTGTGTAAGGCAAGCATCAAGCGCTGCGGCGATAATACACACTCGCGTTTAGGAGTCGGGACCATAGACTGTAAGGTCGGGACATGACGGAATATTCACTTGCACAATCGGGCCAGCAGTGCATCGTGACTGAAGTCTTTTTAAGTCTTACCAGTTTAAACATTCAAGCGATTTTAAACTAATCAGTGCTCGCGCGCTCTCTGAGATTATTTTCTATGCGCACATTCATAGAAAATCCGCCTCAAAAACAGCTGGCCAGTAACTATTTTTCGCGGATTATATTGCTTTAACACGCAAAATTGTCAATTTCGGTCTTTGTGAGTAGGCTATACTCTAAATATAGTCGGTTTTGTCTTTAATAAGCATAAAACGCATGCCAGTATAATGAACACAGGATCCGTGCACTAGCTCTTAAAGTGACGGAAGCCATATGTGTCTGTCATTAATTTTGTTGTCAAAACAACAAAAGATGGCTTTAAGTTAAAGGAATCAGGTTTAATAGCCTATGTATTTAATTTATTCAGGACTAAAATACTACCCAGTGTTATTTTCCATTTGATTACTTTATTCAGTATCTGTATATGAATACTAGTGTTAGACCTATTCAAAAACTTTTCTCTTTGATTGTCTTTATTTGTATCTTTATTCTATTGTATTTATTTGTGCTACCTTTTTCAATTTAATTAAACAATTTAAATCAAGCTTCCTTGTGATGTGTAAATTCTTAACAACAATATTACCTCATTGCAAAAATGCAATGAGCGCAAACATTTAGGCAAGATAAATGTAATAATTTTGTTTGGAAAAAATGCCCCCCCTTTCTCCCCCTCAAACAAAAAAAATCCCCCCCATGAGAATCATCTAAGGGGGGATTTCCCCCCCATTTTCCAAAACGAAATTCAGGCCCTGAGAACTACCACATCTTTAAATTACTATTAGTATTATTTGAAGTTAACATTATAAAATACGTAGACCTACACCACAAAACTAGTTGAGGATAAATTATTTAAAATTTGGCAATTTCAGCATTATAGACGTGAAATTTGCAGCCAAAACTTGAAATATAAGTTCTCAGAAAGTGCATTAAATTAATCCTCAATTGACCGGCAACACGTCCAACATGCAGATGCATATCCTACGGCACCATCCCGAAATCAATTTAGTTGGAGTACAGAACACAACCCAAAAGCAGCAGCCTACACTGCCTAGTATAGTTTAATAATTTGCATAGTTATTATTGTTCTTTGGTGTTTAGATTATACAGGTTTTTCCTAATGTTATTTAATAAAAATACCGGTATTTTTTTTTTCTCTCAAAATCTCTTTTTTTCACCACAAGCCCCGCCCCCTCAAGCCCCGCCCCCGTGATAGAATCGCGATACGAATCGAATCGTGGGTCAATAATCGTGATACGAATCGAATCGTGGGTTTGGTGTATCGTTACAGCCCTAGACTGAACACGTAATACACTTGTGCATGACGTTACAGTTTTTACAAATTCATGAGATGATACTGGGTGGTATTGTTTTCAAAAACCTGCACGTTGAAACTGGTTTCAGGCCCCCAAAATGCCATTGTTGTGTAAATAAACTGGCAAAATGCATAAAAAGTAGGGATGCACCGATATGAACATTTTGGCCGATACCGATAACCGATAATTCTTTACATTTGAAAGCCGATAACCGATATATTTGCCGATAAATCTCAATTAAAATTTTGATATACTTTGATAGCCTGTATACATAAACAAAAGGCTCACCATTAAAAGCCTTGTCTCAAACACTTTTAACATAAATCAAACATATACAATACAGTATAGTTTGAAGCAGTGTAAGATTCCTTAACTTTTAAAATTAATTTTACACTGGGCAACTTCCTTTATTAAAAAATGGTAACACTTTATAATAAGGTTTAATTTTGTTAGCAGCCATTAGTTAGCATGAACTTATAAGACATTTTTAATAAAGTTGTATCTGTTAACATTAGTCAATGAACTGTGAACTAACATGAACACATATTTTATTATAACAATAACAAAAGCTATTGCCTCTTTGTTAGTTAATGCATTAACAAATGAGACCTTATTGTAGTGTTATCAAAAAATCTTTTGCCTAACAAAAAATAAAATACCTAAATAATGCAAACAAGTCATTGGATAACATTGGGCTGCATATAAAGAAACAAAATGCATGTGCCATGGATCAATAAAATGGAATCGCCGCCGCATGCACGTACAATAAGGAAATTATTTTAATCAAACCATATCGTTGATGAAAATAATACGAGAAGAAAATAATGTTAGTTATTAATTATAACGCAATGTTTTTGAAAACAAATAAATATTTTTAATATTACAGTGATAGTAAACATCTTTAATAGCTTAGTTACTGTTTCAAATGACATTGCTGTGTGAGCACGCGCGCTGAAGCTGAAGAGAACGAAACTGAATCGCTTTGCTAGAAGGTTAATCAACTCAACGGTTGCTGAATTTACAAATTTATCACAATAGTGGATACAATTATAATTATATGACAGTCCCAATCATAGCTTTTAATGTTTTGCATTGTTGTTTAATCTGCGCGCGCTGAAGCTGAAGAGAACGAGCACCGGGAAATTGAAGAGATTTTCTAGCAGGTTGTTTAAACGAAACGCATCATATGTGAGGTTAATCAGATATTTATATTACATCAACTTTATATTACGATTTATCTGCACAAAATGACGTGAATGCACAATCGAACTTGTGCAGGATCATAATGTGTAGGCTAATCCCTGTTCTGGACGCGCTATTCCCACAACAACGCGCTGAAACGGTAACTAAACCCAGAGAATTCACAACGTTTTATTACAATAGTGTTCTCATTATAATGGCATGTATATGACAGTCCTATACTGTGGTTATAAATGTGCATTGCTGTTTGAGCTGCGCACGCTAAAGATAAAGATGATCACCAGTAGGCCAACAATGAAGCGCTATGCATCGTTCATTAACTCAACCAAACGCATCCTATATTAGATTAATCATATTATGTATCTTATCTTATGCTGTATCTTCCTTTTCGAAGTGATTCCAATCATTCAGAACCATCATGGTGAACCGCGCGCATCTCTCAACTGAAGTAAATTATCTATTATTTATCGGCTTTGATATATCGGCCCAATTTTCTTTTCGGACCGATAGCGATAACATCAAAAAAGACCATTTATCGGCCGATATCGATATGTGGTCGATATATCGTGCATCCCTAATAAAAAGTTTCCAGTTTTTTGTTGAAAACGGTGTTGGTTAAATGGCTGTTAAGTCGAAAGTGAGATGCTCTCAGCTTCCCTCCTTTCTCCAAAAAATGTATTATTGTGCTGGTAACTACAAACTTAGACTTCAATAAAGTAGTTTTACAACGTAAGTGTGACCTCTCTTTCTCTATCTGCCCAGGAGGACGAGGAATGGAAGGAATTTGAGCAGAAGGAGGTGGACTACACTGGACTCAGACTCCAGGCCCTGCAGATGAGGTGTGAAGAGAAAACTGTTGACATTATCTAATGAATTTCATGCTACTGATCATAAATATTATGCTGTTTGCATGGCCGTTTCTTATTCAAAATATTCTCAGTAGTTTTATTATTAGAGTTGAGGTAAACACGACTACGAATTTCTATGGTTGCCCTGATGTTTTTTTAATTTTTCTGCTAGCAATTTCAGAAAGCGCATTTCAGCAACTACACTTTGACCTTGGTTTCCAGCTAACACACATGTCTCAAAGCACTCTAAATGAATTTAAACATGGATGCATCTCTGTTGTAGTACACATTTTTATGTTTGTGTGTCTGACAGTGATGAGAAGGAGGAGGAAGAGTATGAGAAGGAGGAAGTGGGCGAGGATGGTGAGATCATCCTGGTCAGTGGTGATAAAGTCTCTGGACCCTGGAATAAATCCGGCGCCCCCCCTTCAGCTGCTCCGGGTGAGTCTGAAGCATTAGTATAAACGGCCAACTAATAGAAGTGTTAGTTGAGATCAGTTCTTAATAATCTGTCTTTTTCTGTTAGTCGAGGAAGTTGAGGTTCCTGAGCCCAAGGCACCTGGCGTGTATCGTCCCCCAGGGGCCCGGTTAACCTCTACTAAAAGAGGCCCAACTCAAGGGCCTCCAGAGATCTTCAACGACGCCCAGTTCCCCTCTCTCCTCTCCACCGCCAGACACGTGGAGACTCGCAAGTAAGCAGTCACTGAGCTCCTCTAAAAAGCCTGTGTGCAGATCATCGGTACCTTTAACTTCCTTCCTTAATCAGTACCTTAACTTCCTTCCTTCCTCGTTTTTCCAGAGTATGTTAGGGATGGCATACTGCAATGCTACTCGTACTTTTTCTGCAGTGTTTGTACTGTACAGTGTGTGAATCTTCTCTGTGCATGGAATAATGACAAAAGTGTTGTTATTGTTAACTAAAATTAACTGTTAATTTCAATAAATCTAAAAAAATATATAAATATTGGATAAATTAAAAATAGAAATGTTGCCTGTGGCAACTAACTAAAATAAGTTGAAGTAATATATATTAGGGCTGTAACGATACACGATATAAAATCGAAATCGCGATACTCAGGTCCACGATCCTGTATCACGATGTGAGAAGGCAGAATCGCGATCACAACCCTTCCAACTCCCAGAGTTATCCTTCCTGTCCAGAACCAATGCTACCACATCTTTAAATTACTATTAGTATTATTTGAAGTTAACATTATAAAATACGTAGACCTACACCACAAAACTAGTTGAGGATAAATCATTTAAAATTTGGCAATTTCAGCGTTATGGACGTGAAATTTGCAGCCAAAACTTGAAATATAAATTCTCAGAAAGTGCATTTAATACCAATATATTGACACTTCTGTTTATATATCCATAGCCTACTCCCTTAATAAAGTCCAGTACATGTCCAGACATTAGAAAAATATAAGTCTACTACACATGCATTTTATATTTAATATGAGGGAAATACACACACGTACACGGACGCGACGCGACACAAAACATCTTTAATTTTTAGGTGGCAAAAAAAATATATTTTTTATAATTCTGTAAATTACACTGTACAAACCAAAAGTAATAGGCTACTAGGCTACCCATCGGATGAAGGAGGGTTGGCTCTCCCCAGAACATAAAATATTCATTTTGTTTTATTTTTCGTGTTCGCATTTAAGAGGAAAAAACAATGTCGTGACAGTTCTCTGGAAGCGGCACTAAAACTTTCAGAGACCTCAAACAGAAAAGCACAAATACTTTCTTTAAATTGAATTTCGTTTTGTATTAATTGTATCTCAATTTTAATAAATGTTTCATCAACCAATTAAATAAGTAGTAAATATAGCAGACAGATAATCACGACACAGAGGGGCCGGCGCGTGAACTGGAGCTCGTCTCATATGAATCGAAACCCAGTGTATAAGCCTATAGACCTGAGAAATATATCTACCGGTATATTGAAATGTCTACTTTTAAACCAAACAATTCAAAACGAAAGAAAACAGACTGCCCTCTGCTTATGTAATCCGTATGACAAGTGCATTTCTCTCTGGCGCGTTCACTACTGCGAAGATCGCGAGTCAGCATCGCAACTTCGTCTTTGCAGCTGACACTGACAGAAAACACTAATAAACAATTAAATGTCTCCTTGCTATATTTGACATATTCATAATCATTACTTTTGCCGGTTCTTTGTGTAAGCTTATAGGTGCTTTATTGGCAGTGCCAGCCTTACGTTACATGAACGCGTCACCACCGCATCAGCACCGAAAACTGGAGATTTTTTTAGACAATAATCGCACAACCTATTTGATATTCTATAATTAAATTCTCAGTGACTCATCTCAACCAACTATTTAAAAAAAATTAACTTGTAAGCGTCTTTTTACATGTTACATATCATGCGAGTCGTGACTACCTTTCCATGTGACGTGAGCTATTTGAAGAACGTGAAGAAACATGGAAAACAACCCAGAGATTGCGGACCCTCCCAATAGCCTACATTTCAGTCAGCAGTATGTCAACATTTCGGCTACACGGTGGAGAACAGGGATGGCAATCGTGTAATCTACAAGACCCACACAATTTGCCGTAAGTGTTTTAATAAGCTTTCTCAATTGACCGGCAACACGTCCAACATGCAGATGCATATCCTATGGTACCATCCCGAAATCAATTTAGTTGGAGCAAAGAACACAACCCAAAAGCAGCAGCCTACACTGCCTAGTTTAGTTTAATAATTTGCATAGTTATTATTGTTCTTTGGTGTTCAGATTATACAGGTTTTTCCTAATGTTATTTAATAAAAATACCAGTATATATATATTTTTTCTCTCAAAATCTTTTTTTTCACCCCAAGCCCCGCCCCCGTGACAGAATCGCGATACGAATCGAATCGTGGGTCAAAAATCGTGATACGAATCGAATCGTGGGTTTGGTGTATCGTTACAGCCCTACTATATATATATATATATCACGTGAAAAAAAGTACACCCTTTTGAATTCTATGGTTTTATGTATCAGGGCATAATAAAAAAACCAAATCATCTGGGCCCGTATTCATAAACATTCTAAGAATCCTCTCAGAAAACTCTTAATTTAGCTTAAAAACTTTTACGTAGGAGTCTTAGCTTAAGAGCGATTCGGGACCGATCTGAGAGCAACTCTGAGTAAGGAAAAGACAAAAACTCTCATCTTAGTGAGGAGGCAGGGCTGACCCCGTTGGTATGTATGACACAATCTTTTGAAGACTGTGATTGGTTGGTTGTCCAAGAAGGAGAAAAAAGAGCCATTTTAAGTATAGAGTTTACACACACACACACACGCACATTATATTTATGTATATAAATCCTTTTTTTTTACCTTGCTGTTAATTTCCTAAGGTATTTGATTGGCTTAGAATAATAAAAAATTTTCCACTCTTTCCAATTACACTGATTGCTGTCTATTTAAGTGGTGGTTTGAATGTTTGTTTTAATATAGCAAACATGAATTAAAAAACAAGAAAGACGAGAAAGCCTGACTGGTCAGAAGAACTGTGTTTACTGTTAGCCCAGTTAGTGGATGAACACTAGGCCATCATTAAAGGAAAATTCGGGCCGGGTGTCACAGCATGGAGCGAGAAGCGGACGTGGGAGCTTATAGCGCAAATGATTAACGGTTCATTCCCCTGCTTGTGCGCACTAGGGAAGCCTGCTATTCATAACTGCAGTTTTTTTGAGCCTGCAAGGTGGGAATGTCCAGTGGAAACTAAATGAACTGCGACACAATAAGAGGTTCTGAAAGTGCTGTAATGTTTGTGTGATCACTGCTTACAGAAGGTTGTGACAGACCCAAATCACTGCTGCTTTATTGCATTTTCCCATTTGCAAATATCTTAATGTAGTGATTACTTTCATTTCTGGCGTTATGGCATTCCTGCGCTGTGTCGGAGATATTAGCGTGTCTCTAATAAGATCAGTCACAAACATGATCCCTGCACGATCTCATCTATAGTGTCTTATTAACTCACTGTCATCTATTGTCTGCATCACATTTCTTCTCCCTCTTCATCGTTCTGTCATTTTCTCCTCTGCTAAAGAAACTCTTAAGCCTCTTAAAAGTCCTCATCCATACTCCTAACAATTTTGACCTTAAGACCTCTTTTAAGGGTTAAGATGCTTTCTGAATTACTTTTTTCTTTACTAGGATTTTTTCTTTAATTTTAAGAGTAAACGCCCACATTTCTAAGAATTTTCTTAGAATTTTGTCACTAGGAGCTACTCTTTGCATTAAGATTCTTTATGAATACGGGCCCTGGTCTCTGGCAGGTCTTAAAATGAGGTAAATACAACCTCAGATGAACAACACCACATGACATATTACACGTCATGGTTTATTTAACTAAAACTAGACCAAAATGGAGAAGCCATGTGTGACAAACTAAGTGCACTATACTCAAGTATACTACTTTTTCCGAGTTCCGCTCCTTTCGCGCAGTTGAGCATGCAAGCCTTTCGAAAGTATACTCCTTTGGTCGCGAGCGCAGAAAGACACTATCTAGTGGATAGGAGGGAAGCGGACCCTCCTGATGATGTAAATTACATCACGTGGACCATTGCAGAACGCGGACAGCCAAAGTATAAATCAAATCAAATGCAAGTGTGACCAACTCTAAAAAAGCAGAAGTTTTGGGCAGTTTGCTGGTCTAGAGCATTCAGGTGTGTGTTAACACGATGCCAAGGAGGAAAGACATCAGCAATGATCTTAGAGAATCAATTGTTATTGCCCATCAATCTAGGAAGTGTTACAAGCCCATTTCCAAACAAATTGTAGTCCATCATTCTAGAGTGAGGAAGATTATTCGCAAGTGGAAAACATTCAAGACAGTTACCAATCTTCCCAGGAATGGATGTCCCAGCAAATTCACCCCAAGGTCAAACCGTGAACTGCTCAGAGAAACTGCAATAAACCAAAGAGCTACATCTCAGACTCTACAGGCCTCAGTTAACATGTTAAATGTTAAAGTTCATGGCAGTACAGGTAGAAACAGACTGGACAAGGATGGAAGGATTGCCAGGAAGAAAGCTTTTTTGTTAAATAATGACAGAGTTTAATATGTCATGTGTTGTCATCTGAGGTTGTATTTACCTAATTGTAAGACCAGCTAAAGACCCGAGGCCTGTTGTATAAACGTGTACGCCTTAAATATGCCACTCTCATTAATGGAGTTAAGTACTTAAATAGAAATATTTGTAGTGGATGCGCTGCTTTGAACACTTTTCCTGTGGCATGCTGTTTTTGTTTTGACTACAGCGAGCATTGGTTGACACATTATGCACTCAGATGTGCTGTTGGTGTCATGCACAGACAGACAGAAACCTAATAACCATTTTCCGTAGTCTTTCCAATATTATGGAAAATATCATTGTATTTGAAGGATGGAATTTGAAGGAAACTGTTAGATATGTACGTTAAATGCATAAACGCAAACTGTTAAATGTTTTTGACGTGCTGAGTCCTATCTAGGCCTATCTGTATCCATTAAAAATATATAAACATCCTAAAATGTGTTTACCTTATAGGCAAAATTTATACATTTGATTTGCTTAAAGGGATACTCCACCGTTTTTTCATATTAAACTATGTTATTCTCTTATCTAAGACGAGTTAATACATACCCTTCTCGTCTCAGTGCGTGCACTGAATCGCTCTGTCGGGCGGAGAACTTTGAGAGCAGTTAGCTTAGCCCCATTCATTGTATATGGGCCAAACAGAGATGAAGTTAGAAGCGACCCAACACGTCCACGTTTTCTCTATTTAAATATAGTTACACGAGTAGTTACACGACCAAGTATGGTGACACTAAATAAAATGTGGCGCTTTTTATAAGCGGGTAAAATGGATAACTATAATGTATGGCGGAATAGCACTTATTGGGAGCACTTCGACTCGGCGCTGTAATATCTTCACTCGTGAAAAGTCCTCTCCCCCCTCTCCCTCTCCCTGTCATTTCCGTCAATAGAACCAACGTGACCTGCACGCCTGCAGTAGTAGTAGTTTTTTGTGCAGAGTTGACGAAGTATCAGGGAGAGGGAGAGGGGGAGAGGACTTTTCACGAGTGAAGATATTACAGCGCCGAGTCGAAGTGCTCCCAATAAGTGCTATTCCGCCATACATTATAGTTATCCATTTTACCCGCTTATAAAAAGCGCCACATTTTATTTAGTGTCACCATACTTGGTCGTGTAACTACTCGTGTAACTATATTTAAATAGAGAAAACGTGGATGTGTTTGGTTGCTTCTAACTTCATCTCTGTTTGGCCCATATACAATGAACTGGGCTAAGCTAACTGCTCTCAAAGTTCTCCGCCCGACAGAGCGATTCAGTGCACGCACTGAGACGAGAAGGGTATGTATTAACTCGTCTTAGATAAGAGAATAACATAGTTTAATATGAAAAAACGGTGGAGTATCCCTTTAAAGCTATTAAAAATACTATTTGGCCACTGGAGACTAACTCCTCTCTAAAAACTTTCTCTGAAATTTATTTTATACAATTTTGATTTATTTATTCTAAAACGTATTTGTTCGAAAACAAGGCAAGGATGGGCTACTGAATGATTTTTCACAATGCTATGTGCACATATCCATATCTCATGTTTTCTTAATGCTTTGTACCGTTAAATGTCCGATATCACGTGGATGGGAATACGCATGTAAATGATATGCAGATGACATTATGCATAGTAAAACTAGGCGTTGTAAGCTCCATATATGGTTATTTCGGGGGAGGAGATAAAAATATAAATAAATCATATAAAATAATTAATAAACTAAAAGAAAATGTATAAATAAAAGCTAATTCAAAATAATAAATGTAAGAGTATATAAATAATACTAAAACATCACCATGCCAAAATGTGCATCATACAATGGATGGGTTTGAAATTTCTGATTGGATGAGCCATTTCACACACAGACAGCAATGTTTTAAAAAGTAAAAAAGTTTTGGATTTTAGTTTAGTTCCAGTTTTCTCCCAGTTAAGTTAGTTTGGATTGTGTTGAACAGTTGATTCATGGTAAATAAAAAAACTGAACCTAACTGATAATGCATAATGATGCTGAGAGAAACTGTTTTCTTGTTGTAGGGACCGAGAGATGGAGAAGACTTTTGAGGTGGTCAAGCACAAGAGCCGGGTCAGAGAAGGGGAAGGCCAGGGGTCCATGCAGCAGTTACAGTTAGATAATCAGTACGCCATCCTGGGGGACAAATAAAAGCCATCTCCCCCTCCCCCCTCCAAGCCTACCGCCAGTGGTACAGTAAGACTCGCAGGGGGAACATGACCTGCAGCTGTCTGATGCAGTCCTGACTGAGCTGGAGACGCCTGTGCCCTTCCACACACACACACACACACACACACACACACACACACACACTTAAAATCCTTGTCAAGCAACATCCACAAATGAACGTATTTTGACACATTTAGCCATTGAAATCCTCTTACACACACACACACACACACACACACACACACACACACACACACACACACACACACACACAGGGCTGATAAAGGCCCTCCCTTATCAACTGCATTCAGACGGGCTGCAGCAACAGGAACTGACTGAAATTTCAAATTCTGCTTTATATGACACCAAGTTCACCAAGACGTATGATACTGCATCAAACGAACAAGGCACCAAATGTTTATTTCGGTGGATTTCCTCATGGGGTTGGTTGGCCGGCAGAGCCACTGGACATCGGCCAACCCTGAGAAAATGAGAAAAGCCACTTTGAGGATGGAGTTCAAGACATTGTGTGAGAATTTAAAAAAAAAAGAAAAAAAAGAATGCTGAGGTTTTTTTTTTTTTTTTTCATCTTTGCTACATCAGTATAGCTCCTGAACCATTTGATTTTTTTTTTTTTCTTGCATTGTGATGACAAAGCTGGGAGTTTTCGGTTTGGGCACTAGAGGGGAGACTACCTCAGTTGCATATCTGTGGTTATCATGTCGACCAGGTCCTGGACTCTGATTGGCTGCAGGAATTAACACCAGTCCAGCCAAAGAGGAGCGTTTCAACCTTAAACTTGAAAATTATATTTTTCTCTCCCCTTGTCAGGTCTTCAAATTAATTTTTTAAAGTGGCCTTAATGTTGAAAAAATTCAAATACAAAAGTGGTGGGGGAGATATATAAATATATTTAGAGAATGCGTTCTGGAAGGCACTTCCTTGTCGTGTTGCAGGTAAAGCCTGTTTGATTTGATTCTTACCACTCTTAGTAAAAAAAAAAAAAAAAACCACCGTAACCCTCTGAGAATGTAGTTCTGCGCTAGTTTGTCTACATATTGCGAATAATGGATGTTCTCTAACAATGTCCCTTTAACCTTTTCATCCATGTTCCTCTCCTCATTTTATTTGATTCCATGATGATTGACAAAACATTAAAGTTTAACCTTTCTAATCTCACATCATGTTTCTGGTTTGATGTGTATTTTTGTGATTTTTCTTGCTGTGGCCTGTAGAGGGCGCTGCGGTCATTGCTATGAAATACTCTGCAGTGTCAAATGCGTTCCTGTTTATGTGTGGAGCTGTTTTGCCATGTTAAACTGTAAATGTACGCGTATAGTAAGTATCAGAATCCCGGCCATTCTGTATATGCATTAAAACCCCTCAGACTCACCATGTTGTTCTTCTGACTGGACAAAAACTGCTGGGTTGTTTCGTTATCTGAACAACTATTGTAAAAAATGTCTCTGAATCAGTAAAAATTACTAGAGGTAATAAACATTTTGAATCTTATTAAAAGAAAGTAACAATTAGCAATCAGTTTTCTTAGTAGACCTTGAGATTTGATGAAAAAGGATATGATGCACCATATCTTTTATGGGAGTGCTTTATTGGCACTGTTTGTGTCAAACAATCTAACATGAAGATCACAAGCTTGGATTAATAAATACTGTTACTGAAGGGAAACTCATTTAATGATTGCATTTGTAACAGTTTCTAATGAGTGTGTGGTAAATGTTTAACTGTAATTCTAGTAGAATGATTATTTCTTCATCTCCAGTATGCCACTGCCCGGGCCTCTCCGCTTTGCACTGCAGATGTTACAATACTGTGTTCCTAGAACCTGTCAGAGAGGACACAAAATGGACTTTCATGGTGAAAAAGTAAAGATTTCTCAACTTTTAAGGCTTCCAAGGTGAAGTGTGTCATTCCTGCATCTGTAGCATCATTGAATGCTATTATCACTCATGCTCAACATACAGAGTAATGTTGTGATGGTGCCACATATTAAAGGAATAGTTCACCCAAAACATTTGTCATTCCAAACCTGTATGAGTTTGTTTCATCTGTTGAACACAGAAGAAGATATTTTGAAGAATTTTGGTAATCAATTGACGGTAGCCATTGACTTCTGTAGTATTTTTTTTTTTTCTCCCTATACCTATGAAGTCAATGGCTATCAACAAACTGGTTACCAACATTCTTTAAAATATCTTCTGTGTTCAACTGAAGAAAAACTCATACAGGTTTGGAACAACATGAGGGGGTGAGTAAATGACACAATTTTCATTTTTGGGTGACCTATCCCTTTAAGGTGGATTATAAAAAAGGTAACATCAAAAAATTACTTTAAAAAATAGCAATGTGTAAAAATGACAGAGGACTTACGGTTCCTGGGGACGGCAGACACTCCTTGTGGAACATGTGTCTGCAGTGAAACACCACCACACCAAACGCTTGAGCCGTGTCTGAAACAAACAAGAGTGTGTCAGTCAAGCAATGAGGAAAAAAAAAACCTTCCTATGCAGTGAAACATAACTACATTGTCAGCATCATTATCGCATGATTTGAGGTGGAAAGATGCCCAAAATTTGGGACAAAATGAAAGTGATGATTGCAAGTATATTGCACTTTTATATATTGTGCACATCGTCAGCTTAAAAATGTTTTAAACTTTCTTGAAAATTATAAAATAATTACACACATTAAATGAAACATATATACAAACATTATATATATATATAAACACTGGTCTACAATGTTTTAGAAACTGCTTTAGAGATAAAATGTGCTACTTATGTAATTTGAAATCAAATATAACGATTAAAAACTGATTGGCTGCTGTTTCCAAGATATTTACGTTTTTACATTTTACGTCTATGTATATTGTGTATATAGAACCTGTCACCTGTCCTGTTTATGTAACACTTTAAAAATCAGCAAAAGGGTTATATATATCAAATTTATTATGAAACAAAAGTAAAAACACTATTGTGTACTAGTCCACTTCTTGGCTTGTCTCTTGTATTCATTGAATGGAGCATCTCATGTCATTGTCCAGCAATAGTCTGCAGGCATTGATGAGCTCTATTTGAAGTTGCACACAAGTACGAGGCGTCTCTGCTCACTTCGGCTAAACAGAAATGTGTCCCTTTTGCGAAATCAAACAATGACAAATAAGAGAGCTTGACACTGTATGACGGGGTGCAAAACTCCACAACCCTGCAGAGTTTAGGCAACGCCACTTGAAGGCAAGCCTGCAACCTGAGCTGAAAAAGTGTATTGCCTGCTAACGCTGCGGTAAGCAGGGAAGGAGACAAGAGGCTGGATGTCAATGGAGGAGAGGCTTAAGAGAAGACAATTGCAAGACAGATATGATTCAGTTTACGGCACTTTTCATTCATTTCCATAGACAGTAAAAGAAATGGACACAGCAACCCCATAGACTTCAACGGAGAAAAGTGAAGTCAATTAGAAGCACTGACTTCCTGATGGCTGAGCGACTGCGCAGCCTCAAACTGAGCTTGACGACGTAGATGTGACGTGAGCAACCTGTCTCACAGTTGTATGTCTTCTAGTAGCTGTGCCAAGAGGAATCTGAATCATTCCCTTCCGAATATTGCAGAGACTGAGAGCGCGAGTAAGAGCTGTCCATGAGCTCGCAGCAGGATCAGCTTTATGACTCTCTATGGGCTTCTCCCTTGACTTTATCGGACGTTATGCCTCCACGTCCCCCCCGATTGCCCGCGAGCTTCTCCTCCTGTCTATACGGTAATTTCTCACTGTGCGACAGAGTCGCTTGGTTATGACGCAATCGTTAGCCTATTTTTACAAAAACTGCTTCTACTGGGCCATAACGTAAGATACAAGGTAATAGAGCCTTTTAAACATTGTCATGTTTCTTTAAAAATAAACAATGGACAAATGGAGTCTTTAAACGCCTCAGATGTAAAGTTATTCGCTGTCAAAGTGACGCCAAAATAAATGGGAGTCAATGGAATGCTAACAGCAGGTGAAAGCTTGCTAGCCAATGGCGGCCCCCGGGGAGACTTCAGTTTCCGGCTGGTGGATTACCCCCTTGATTGGAATAAGCGTAACATCTAACTTGGATCATGTGTACCTTGATAACCTATCACATTAGAGCCTTGACGTCATTGAATTTAGTTCAGAGTTGTGCGACAGTCAATGACGTCAAGGCTCTAATGTGATTGGTTATCAAGGTACACATGATCCAAGTGATTCCAATGGTAGAGCCACGGACCCTCGTATTTCCCATAATAATAAGACCATCTCTGGTTTAGCTTCAACTGTAATTAAACACACCTGATCCAGCTCATCAAGTCCCTCAGGCTTATCTGAAAACTACAGGTAAAGTGTGTTGGAACTGAACTTTGCAGGGCTGTGGCCTTCCAGGAACTGAGTTTTGACCCCCTGCTGTTTGATTTCTAGAGCTGATATAGGGCTATTTGTATAGAGTTATGTAAGCTTTGTTAAGACTGCAACATCCATGACTTCTAGGAATAACATGATGCACGTATGACGCAATTCCAGCTTCAGATTGCATCTTTCATTGTTTTGCCTAAAGAGCAAGTACTGTCCAAACATAGTCAGAGATTTATATTCCTTCAAAGATGTATTGGTAACGCTTCCTTTTACAGTCCTGTTACCCATGTACTTACTATGTACTTATTATAGTAATTATAATTACTGGGTAATAACTAGGTACTAACCCTGAACCTACCCCTAACCCATGTACTTACCTTATATTAGCCAGTACTTTCTAGGTAAGTACACTGTAAGTACACGTAAGTACTGTACTGTAAAAGTAATTTCTGGTTTACATTGAGATCCCTTGTCTTTATTACTCACTTATCTTCCGTCATTCCCAAGTCAAGGGTCATATATACTGACCAATTGCATATCTTGAAAACTAGAGCCAATCAACAATTTTAAGCATAATTTTCGTTCTCAGTGACCAAGAATTTTGACTGCAGACCAGTGTATGTGTATATATACAGGGCTTGACATTAACACCCGCCAAATGTGGGTTGATTTCAGCAGTGGTGTGTAACGCAGTCACTCCTACTAGCCAGTAGCCACTTTGGCAGGTTGAAGTTTATATAAAATATATACATTTTTCAATTGTAGTCTTTTAAAAATGCATCTGAAATAATAAACGAAGTGCAATGTAGTGTTGTCAAAAATATAGATTACACATATCGATACTGAAATATCTGAAACGCTTCCAATACTCATTTTCCACAGAATAGATATACGATACCAGCTGTGCTTTCTCGCTCTCTCATCTCTCTGACAGCGAGTGACACACAAACCCGCCTCTCCTCACTCGTTTGATTTGCTCCGGATGAATATTGTTAGTGTTACAGGGCTTGAATTTTGGCATGGGTTTGCACGTGTTGTGCATTATTTTACTCATTCCTGCAGATTTTGATTTTGTGCTCACACCCAAAGTGTGCCAGCATAAAGCTGCCCCTCAGAACTAAATTTAGTTCTTTTTCGCTGCTTATTGCACTTAAACAGTCAAATACACACAAAATAATGTCAAAATGTCAGTCTTGTCTTGGCGAGAATTCACGTTAACTCAGTCAGTTATGATTTAAGTGAACAGTTAAAGGACAAGTTCGCCATTTTACACAAAGCCCTGTTTTAAGATCGTTTCTGATGAAATAGAACGTAGTTTTTTTTTTATCGTAGTTTTTGTCCAAGTCAAGTCAATGGAGTTGGACAAAAACTACGATAAAACCTGTTGGAAAGCATCTTTTGCAGCGATTTTTGTGTGAGCATATCAGTGAACACCCCAGACCACTCGGTGAGTTTCAAGTCTTTGTAAACTAAAGTTTAAAGCGTTTTATGAACGATTGTTCCAGTGCACCTATGCAACCATTGTGGAGGTGGGGGGAGGGGGGGATGGGGGGTGCAACCACAGAAACCGAAAATTCTCGGGCCAGCAGCATGTGTCCAAATTTCAATCTTAACCGTTCTATTTCATCAGAAACGATCTTAAAACAGGGCTTTAAGTGTAAAATACCGAACTTGTCCTTTAAGAAAGAAAACGCATGTGTAATAGTATGATGGATCAGTGCGTCAGGTCTTGAAGTGACAGCAGCCTAATATACCGGCTGCCAAATTATGATATAATATTAAAATATCTCTATGGC